GGTCAGTCCTCGTGCACATGCGCAGATTATCGTTCTCTTTCCTTACTCCCGGAAGAACGGTTCAGAGTGCAAACGGTTTCTTTGTTGCTAATCTGTAGGGAATATCTACATGAAAGTTCTACAGAAAGTAGCAACGGGTCCTGAGAAATGTCGCTAAGTTTGTCGCTAGGCGCTTTTTGGAAAAAAAGTCGTTGAGGGGGGTCAAAAAGTCGTTAGGAACAGTGACAAAGTCGCCGAGTTGGCAACACTGGTTCCAGGGTCACTGCAACCCTCAATGCTCCTCCCCCTGTTCAGACTGAGGTGACATGCGCTGCTGGTAGTGGCTGCCGGAACCGAAGTGGGGATAGTCCCAACCCACCACCCCACCAGTGAACACTTATGCTGTGTTGTCCGAAGTCTGTTGCATATCTGTCTGAGGTTTTTTTTTTGCAGAGCAAAGCTGCCCTCCCGGTGGAGGGTAACTCTGAAGTGCCTTTTTTTTCCCTCCACCTGACCCAACCCTCATGTAAACCCTCTTATCTCTATTAAGGTAGCGCGACTCAGGGTTGCGAATGACCACAGTCACCAATTCTTGTCATGTGTCTTGCCCATGTATGTCTGATCTCTGAATTGTGTGTACTGAAACTAATTTTCCTCTGGGATTAATAACGTATCTTTGAATTTGAATTGAATTTGTATGTGTGTGTGTGTGTTCTGACCATGTGTGTGTGTGTGTGTTCTGACAGTGCACAGACTCTGTGCACTGTCAGAACACAGGAGGAGTCAGGCATGCCAGGCTAGGACTCACCCTGAATGGCTAACTGACGAACGCACAAGTCTCCATCAAACAGGAAGGAGACGCCGTGTCCCCACTGCTGTCCTGCAGAGGTCGGATCCCCGTCTACCAAATAATCAACAAGACTGGCCATGGACAGCATCTCCTCTACGTGGAAGAGCTCGCTCTTCTCATCCATATAGAGAAGGTCTAATCTTTAGGTGTTTGAATCGCTCTTAGTCCGACCGCCTTCCTGGGATCCTGCTGCCATGGAGACCCTAACAGGGACTAATGGCCCAGCCAGCAGAGCTTCCAGGAACATGGAGGTCCTCAAACCCTCCCACCACGGTAAGGTGGCGATTCTGCGGGAGGGATGTTTTTTTTTTGTATTATTTTATTGTTTATTTTGTGTTTTTTTATAAATGTTTTTCATAAAAATTTTATTTATCATACCATACCAATTTATTTATAAAGCACCATTTCAAAATAGCATGGCAGCTAACCCAAAAAAGACATTTTATCTGATAGAAAACAAAAACGTTTTATCAATCAATCAATCAATCAATCAAAGCTTTATTTATAAAGAGCCTTCCGTAACCCTGTCAGGAAGCCCAAGGCGCTGAACATGGTACAGTACAAAGTTAAAGAAAGTGAATAAATCAGAAAATAAAAGCAATTCAAATTACAGATTACAAATTACAAAAAAAGGTGAAACATTGTAGTAGAAGACAAATGTGTAAAACAAGGGAAAAAGTGAACCAATGAAAACAGTGAGATAAAATCAACATAAAAGAGGGCCAAAGAGGGTTTTATAAAGATTTTTTGTTCTTTCTCCTATTTTTTCTACTTGCTAGTGAAATCTAAACAGCTTCTCGGTTCTAAGTCACCAAGTGAGCCTAAACGTAAAAAGCACATGAAGAACATGTGCTCATCTACTTTTTTTGAGTTTTATTTTACTTACTTCCTAAGTAAATAAAACTTAATTTACTTCTTAAACGTACTCCACCTCTTCTTCAGTCCCTTCAGGTCTTTTCCAGATGTGACTGATGCTTTAGTCTCGCTTACCTGTGAGGACTCTGGTTCAGTCTCTCTGCCAGAAACCAGAGACCTCCGAGCTTTGGCTCCTGTGATCGAGGTTCCACTTTTATTTACTCCTGAACTCTTTTCTGCACTCACTGATGATTTTTCTTTAACCTTACATCCATTATTTTCCCTCTGATGATGCGGGGTTTGCTCGTACGAGATCTCGGAGGACGTGCTTGGAAGAGCTTCGTCCACACTTGTCTTCTCGTATGAAGATTTTCCGTCTTCATCCTCACCTGAACTAACTTTTTCAATGTTGCTCTCTTCTCATCTCTGATATGTTTTACCTTTCTTTGCAACATCCCACCACATTTGAACTGTATTTGTATCTAATCCAAACCTATTGGCTAATCCTTCTTTAATATCTGACCAATTTATGTCTACATCATCCTCATCCAGTTCCTTTCCTGAGCTGGAGAACGAGCTACCAGAAGCCACGCTTTCACAGGCCCAATCCTGTAGACCAAGTTCCAACAAAAGTTCATCAAATTCATTTAGCCTCTTTATCACAGCCTGCCCACTTGTAAGGCCACTTGTGTCTTCAGACAATAAATCCACATCTTTCGTTTACATTCTTTTGTTTTTTGATTGGTGATCGGCAAAACGGCTCGTTTCCCTTTTTTTTTTTATTTCCAAAGGAAAATCTGATTGCCGTCATGTACACAGACACTCACAGACCTCGAGTTTTCAGCGTGACTTTTGTGTTCAGGCAATGAATCTTCGTCTTCTTGTTCGGAGCAACTTGTTTCATCTTCATCAAGACTTTCAAAGCTGTGGGAGAGCAAATCATAGTTTTCCTCTGAATCTGACGATGTGTCGCCCTCACTCAGTTCTCCTTCTGAAAAAACGGACGTTTCACCGTCTATGTCCTCTAAACCTTCATCAGTAGGAGACATTTCCTCATTTTCTTCTAAAGAAAGACATATTTCATCTCTTTCCTCAAAGTTCTCCTCTATAAATGTGGAAAGACCAATCTGATCGTCATCCTGATTCTCCCAAATAATCTTAGTCCGAGATAGACCAACGTCCTCCCCCCATTCGGTATCAGGATAAGAACCGCTGGCGAACACGCTAAGAGGAGCTCCATTTTCACAATTTAGCTCCATCACATCTGTTTCTAACCCGAGTTTGCAACCCATTCCTTCGTCCATATAAGGCAAGTCGCTGCCATCGTAAGGCAATGAGTCAAGGTCTCTTTCTGGCTCAGACCAGGTCTCACCTGCATCATGAAGCATTTCAGAGCCGTCAGACACGCAATCGTAATCTTCTGCTGAAACCGGAGATGTTTTCACTTCTCCTTCCATAAAAGCCTCTAATTCTGTAAAATTGGGTGACGTTTCCTGCTTTTGACCTAAAGAGAGCGAGTTTTCATCATTCTCATCGAAAAGCTCCTCTGTAGTTGCAGAACAGTCGCCCTCACATAAATCCATTCCTGAAGACAACTCTTCTGACTGAATTTCTCCAAAATCTTCCTTTAAAGTGAAAAAGACGTCTGTATCTGGATTATCACAGGAGAGGTCGTCTTCTGAATGAAACGACGACAGATAATCTTCAGCAGACTTTACAGAAGAGGAATAAGTCGTGTCTTCTGATGCTAAACAGCTTCCTGACATAACTCCGTCGTCCTGAGAAGCCGACACATCTTCAAAAGAAGAGTGGAGAAAAGCAGCTTCAGGACTAAAGGAATATCCGTCATTTTCACTAGACGTCGCAGACAAGTCGTCAAAGCGTTGTTCAGAAAAGTCCTGAGCAGAGATCGGTATTTCTGCTGCCTGGTCTCCGAACGCCGTCTCTAAAACTGCGGCTAACTGTTTTTCTCTGGAAACCACAAACATTTCCTCATTTCCAGTGAAGTCTTCGCTGAGAGACTTCGAGCCAGATTCTCTAAATTCAAATGCATCCAGATCTGACGTAGTTACTTGATCTGACGTAAAATCAGAAAATGGTTTTTCAGTCAGTGGTTCATGGGCCACAGAGACGCTTGTCTGGTGACCAGAATCCTTCTCTTCTTGGAAAACCGATGGTTCGACATCTCTGAGTAGACCGGTTGCTAATTCCAGCCCAAAACCACCGTTGCTTTCATATTCTGGTTTTTCTAAAGTAGATGAACCGTCTTTTGTTTCTCCGTAAGAATATTTAACATCAGTTATGTTCACTTTCAGAGAGAGAGATATCATCCCTTCATCTTCTGTAATCGATGGTTTGACATCTTTAAGTAGACAAGTTGAAATTTCGGGTCCAGGGCTATTAAAATCAGACTCCGGTTGTTCTACAGAGGATAAATCCTCTTTTTCTGTGTCTCCATAAAAATATTTATAAGCGTTTCTAACCGCTTTAGTAATTAGAGCACCTGCTACAAACCCAGTAACAGCAAACATGGCTGTACGGGTCGTTAAGAGCTTACCGAATCGATGCATCCTTCCCGCTGAGCTTAGCTCGACTGACTGAGGAGGTGAGTTCTAGCGCCCTATTTATAGGCTGGCAGGATGACGTCACAAAGGGACGTGATCAAAGGGTGGAGAGGAGCATGCGCAGACGTGAACAAAGGTGGAGAGGAGCACGCAGACGCAGCCAGCAAGCTAAAGCTATGTCACGTGCGTCTTCAGCGTTTGTGAGATCGTCACGTGACTCAATTTCCTAAGTTTTAAGGAGTCACATGATTGTTTCATGGATTTTATTTTTTAGAATAAACGAAATTAATTTAGCATTTTTATGGATCTTAGAACTTCCTCGTGAGCATAAAGTGGGTGTAAACATTAAAAGTGGGTTGTTTAGGTTAATAAAATAGAATTGAAGTGTTTTCAATGTGCATTTGTTTATTTAACACAAGCCTGATACAGCAGGTACCTTCTGAAAAGGTAAATTATTCTGTTATTTTAATGATTCGGATTGTTCCCGCCGGGTCACGGCCGTTGTGAACAAGTCCGTTTGTCAGACATTTATTGACTGAACAGTTACTTCTCTATAACCTCAAACATGGTCAGTGCCGGCCCTGTGGTGGGCTGCTGCGGACCGGATCCGACCCAGGAATGAGCTCCCCTGCCCCGCTGGGAATTAAAAACACACCGCCATCACCTGTTGGAGCTGACAGCGGGATGCTGCGCCCTGGATCCGACCCAGGTTTAAGCTCTCCCCGCCCGCTGGGAGGGGAGGGCTGCGCCCGCTGGGAGGGCTGCCATTATTGATATATTTCCCTTTTCTGGCCACCAGGGGAGCTCAACAGGCATGGGGGCGCGGTTTGTAGTGGTTGTGGCTGCAGCTAGGTAATATTCCACTTTAGTTTCAAAACTCGCCTGAACCCTGACAGTAGTATGAACTCTCCTCCTAAAATCACCGAGATGGTTTTCTCGTGCTCAGCGATGGGCTGCACGAACCGCCAGGGGGAATACCCAAATCTGAGTTTTCATCGTTTCCCGAAGAACGACCGAGAACGGAGGTCCAAATGGACAGCAGCAATCCGCAGGAAGTACTGGGAGCCCGGGCCATATGCCAGGGTCTGTGGCGAGCATTTCATCCTGGGTAAATTATTAAACTGATTATTAACTCGAGTTATTGTTTGCATCAGTGACCTTGTAACGGAGTTCCTCTAAAAACGAGGGGGTTGTTTTTATTTATGCCTCACTCCTAAAGCTCTGGTGTCTGCATCACGTTTGTAGCAACAGCTTGTTTTGTTTTGGTTTAGATGATGTCGCTCAGGAGTTGCAGCTGGCAGCCAAAAGTAGTTTATTCAAGTGTAATAAGAGTACTTTGTTCAAACTAAGTCTGAGTCAGGGGCGCCTCCAGAAAATTTTGATAGGGGTGTGGCCAGATGGGGCCAAAGAAATTTTTGGGGTGGCCATCAAATTGGTCCTTGTGGTAGCCTGTGGCAATGTACTGCATTGCACCTTTATTCATTTTTATTAAAATAACAGTACGTATCCAAAACATTAAACTTAAATTTAAAATGCAAACATTTTAGAAAAATACATTTCAGTTATTTGAAATGTTATCCCAGTTTTAATTTAAAAATTATTTGGTTTAGGTTTATTCACCTGTGTTGCTGTGTTAAAAAAACTATGGAGATAAAAACTTTTTTTTGAATGGTGAGCAGCAGAAACATGCATTTTTTATTCTGGTTATGTCTTATTCATTAATTATAATATTTTTATTTTGCTTCACAATTATGTCTTGAATGAACAAGATTAATATATGGTTTGATTGAACATTAATATGATTTGTTAACGCTGGCTTTTCCAGGCCAGCAATTTTCTGCCCCTTGGGGGCGCCATTGGTATTGCATCCAAGTCTTCTGCATTCTCATGGTAGATCTTGTTAACCTTTATTTAACCGGATGAGTCGCTTGGAAAACTCATTCTCATTTACAGCGATGGTCTGGCCAAGAGGCATAGTTAGCTTTACTGAAGTTTACTTGTATTTTATATTATTATTAGGGCCCGACTGATATGCTTGTGTTGGGACCGATACCGATATAAAACTTTTAACAAAGGCCAATAGCCGATATAATGGCCGATAAATCTCCCTCACAAAAAAAGAAATAAAATTTTTCTTACGCTTAAACCCTTCATTCTCTGCCTTCTCTATTACACACCAAAATAACTCACTACGGTTTCCAAGTAATGCAAATAAGATTTATTTAGCAGATCTCAAAAACAACAGAACACACAAGCTCAGTTACAGCATAAATCTAACATTGAAGTTTTTTCTTGTAAACTGTGGTTTCCACAAATACATTTTAACTTAAAGGAATATTCCACCACTCAGTAAAGTTGTGTCTTGTTAAGATTCCCCAGAGTTAGACAAGTCAGAAAAAGCATTTTATAACCAGCCCAATACGATCTGGCAGCAGTTGGTTTTGTAGTTTAGCATAAAACAATGTAAGTGAATTCACATAGATTATAGTGTTTTTTATGTAGGTGAATGCAAGCCTTCCCTTCCATTGCTTTATGCTAAAACAACTGGTTACAACATGTTTTTTTCTGACTTGGCTAACTCTGGGGAATCTAACAACACACACGTTTAGGGACAGAAGGTCCCTGTAAGAATATTAAAATAATAAAAACGCAGTAATAAATAAAACATAATACTTGTGCTTTGTAACAAAGTAACACTCTGTGGAAGTTAACTTGGTGAACTTATTCACCCTGGACAGGAAATACTTGCACATAAGAAACATAAATAAGAAAAAATAAATAAAAAATGTTCCAAAACAATAATTTGTGTTCAAAGTTCAAAGAAGTGGAGCCACACAACATGAGTTCATAAAGCTGGCGCCATCTGCTGAATAGGTAGAGCCATATCGGCCGTCTTTTTGGCAGATAGCCGATACTGTTAATGACTCCAATATCGGCCGAGCCCTAGTTATCATCATTATGATTATTATAATTATTATTATTATGGCCCGGGGGCCTGAGCTAGAAGCTGGCAAGCTTATAAACACACATACTGTAAATTTAGGTTTTTAATTGTAACTTTTCATTAGACTAGATTATCAAACGCTCTGAAGTGCAGAGTATGTGATGCACCCCTCTCTCTGTCTATTTTAGGGAAAAGAAGTGATGATCCCAATCACCCCGACTACGTGCCAAGTATATTCAGCTTCTCTTCCCCTTCTGCTCGAGCTCAGGCTTTAAAAACGAAGGAGAACCATTTGAAACAGTTGGAAATGAAGGAGAAAAAGCCGAGCGACACTGAAGAAAAGGTAGTTCCATTGGCTGAAGCTGACGCCACAGAGGCCACGGATCACAAGCCACCTTGTGCGCTCTACTTTACCAAAGTCACGCATCAGAACCCAGCTTCTGATGTTCCAGAACCCACTGCTCTTCCAAAGCAGCATCACAGCTCAGAGTTCAGAGCTGACGCCAAAGAAGCTGTGCCTCAGATCCCAGCTTTTACACTCTTCATAACAAACGTCCTTCAACAGAACCCTGGTATCGCTGCTCTTCCAAAACAGCAGCCCAGCTCAAATGTCACGGCTGAGGTTGCAGATTGTGGTCATCGTAACCCACCTTCTAATGTGCCTGATACCCTTGCACTTCTAGACTGGCATCACAGTGTTCCTGGACTTGGGCACCAAAACCCAACCCTTAAAGTCTATGCTTCCACTGGTCTTCAGGACCAACATCACAGCCCAGAATCCAGAGTTGATGTTTCAGAACTCATACATCAGTGTCCTCAGATTAAAGCTGAGCCTTCAGAACACGAGCATCAAATCTCAAAACTTGCGGTTCTCAAAATGGAGGTGCAGGCAGACGAGGCCCTCAGTGGTATAGTGGACGTACACAAACTGGTGCAGTCTTTAAATACAGAGTGCCAGTTCCTGAAGGACAAAGTTTGTGAGCTAGAGACAAAGTTGAAACACCAAACGTTTCAGATTTCACTTACCAGTGATGCTAAAGTGGAATACTTCACGGGACTTCCTAACAAGCGGATGTACGAGTTGTTATTAACTTACGTCTCATCTGTTTTTCCTTCGTCTTGTTCTCTTGAGCCCTCACAAGAGCTGCTCATGACACTTATAAAGCTGCGCCTCAATCTGACGGATGAATTGTTGGGTCACCTCTTTGGGACTGAACAGTCGACCGTATCAACCATCTTCCAGCGATGGGTAAAAGTGGTGGCGGACAGGCTTCAGTCCCTTGTGCTGTGGCCCGACAGAGAGGAGTTCAGACGCAGCTTGCCAAAATGCTATCAGTCCAAATTTAAAAACTGTGTCAGCATTGCACACTGCCTTGAGGTCCTGGTAGAACCTGGAGCTGAAACACATACCAGTGACAAGGAGCATAACACGGTGAAATTTCTCATCTCCATCACTCCCGAAGGAACCATCTCTTTTGTGTCCAAACCTTCGAAGGACTGTATCTCGAACAGAGTCCTCCTTGAAAACGTTGAGTTTCTTCAGAACCTGCAGCCTAGAGACTTGGTTCTGCCTGCTTGGGGTTTCGAGGCCAATGATCGTGGTGGCCTGTTCTGTGCAGAGGTGGAAACATCTCTAACCGGAGGAAGTGTGAAGTGGTTCAACTTCAGATATGTTGCATCATCAGAGGAAAACGTTCAAGTGAAGGCTCACGTGAAGAGACTGATTGGGATGTTGAGACAGAAATACCCCATCCTGGGATCAACTGTACCTCTTGGCTTGGCGAAACAGATTGTCGTCATATGTAGTGCGCTTTGTAATTTGTGTGAAACTTTTGCTTCAGGATGAGTGATGCGTAGTCTGTCTCTGTGAGACGGTTCTGGGTTTAATATGAGGACATGTGTGGAGTACGGACATTCAGGGACTTGGTGAGTCTAAATTGATGCAAGCAGGGACTGAGTGAATGGGTATGTATGAATGTCAAAGTATTGATTCATTTTTAAGGAAACTGACAATATTCATAAGCCTTAAAGTAGAAATTTGGTTTTATTTTAAATTTGGGAGTCGGGTCGCGGGGGCAGCAGCCTGAGTCGAGAGGCCCAGACTTCCCTCTCCCCAGCCACTTGGGCCAGTTCCTCCGGGGAATCCCAAGACATTACCTGGCCAGGTGAGAGACATAGTCCCTCCACCGTGTCCTGGGTCTACCTTTAGGTCTTCTCCCGGTTGGACGTGCCCGGAAAACCTCACCAGGGAGGCGTCCAGGAGGCATCCTGACCAGATGCCCGAGCCACCTCAACTGGCTCCTCTTGATGTGGAGGAGCAGCGAATCTACTCCGAGCCCCTCCCGGATGACTGAGCTTCTCACCCTATCTCTAACCCCGGGTTTCCACAGGAGCCGTCAGCAGCACGTTACTGCAGCAGCACGTCTTGCTCGCGTAAGCTGCTGCTTGGCCCTTCCCACGAGACGCGAAGCAGCAGGGGAGCAGCTGTCACCGACAGAGCACAAAGTCACACGAGTGACTTCGTCAGTAAACACAACAACAAGCAGGAGAAAATTACAACATGGTTCGTGTTTTATGTTCTGTCCGTTTTATAATCGCCAATACGGACCTGAAAAACAAAGGAGACCGCTAGCTAGGTGATAACTTCTCACGGGGCCGCACAGTTAGTAACCTTTTTTAAAAGTAAAGCAACCGGAAAGCAGTACGTTCTTTATTCTGAAAATCTCGGTAGCTTCGCTCCATTTCTGCGTCCGATTTCCTGTCTTTCCTTCCCTAAAAATGTCGAACTTGACCCGTTTCAGAGGCGTC